TGTGAATAATGGCCTTCCCCAGAGAAAAGCAGGCCGATTGGTTATCCAATACCAAATGGTCATGCCATAAAAAAATAACATTATACAGATTGAGCATATATATATATATATATATATATATATATATATATATAGCATATATATATACACATATATATATGTATATATATATACATACACACACACATATATATACATATATATATATATGTATATATATATACATACACACACACACACACACATATATATATATATGTATATTGAGGTAACCCAGGCATGTATATATATACATATATATACATAGACACAAACACACACACACATGAAAGGGTTTGGAGATAGGAAATGGAATTATAATTATTTTATAATCCAAAACAAAACTCAAAATATCATCTTAAAAACTAAAAAAAAAATTTTTTTTAAAAAAAACTGAGAGGACATTGGAAGTTTTACAGGAGACAGAAGCAGATGGCAAGGCTGATTCCTAGACTTCCAATGTCTGTCAGACTTAAGTGCTCACATACTGAGGTGGGAAAAATTGGGGGAACAAAACAGTTTTGTGAAGAAAATAAATCATCATTGCAAAGTCCACTGTTGGTACTCTTTGGCTTTATCCATTCCAAAGAAAGTCAGGAGCTCTCTAAACAGGAGAAAGGAGAGCCAGTGAGTACTTATACCAGGGGATGTTCACTCTTCACAGCTGTGTCTAGTATGGATCACAAGTCTCTTAGCACAAAGCACCACTCAAGAAGGCATCCGTGGATTAGGAATTTGAAGAAACATTCTGATCTTAAATATTATTCCAAGTGAACCTGAACTTTCAAAAGAATATTGCCCAGCAAGTTTGTGAATGTGTATTGCTCATTGTTAACCCTGCATCCGGCCCCTCATTCATCTCCAAGAAATATTTCTGAGTGAAGTTGACTGGATGGAGATGCCTCCAGAGATGTCCATCAACACTCTGCCCAAGGATACTAGCCAGGTGACAGATACAGGATGACAAGTTTCTCGAGTGAAACTGTTTCAGAACCATGAAGTTTGTCAGAATCTAATGTGAGTTTCATTATTTCACTTCAAGGCTATCCTTTCAAAGGGGGTTATTTGGGCAGCAGTAACCTTTCATCATGACGAGAAAAGTATCCAATAACAACCTCCATTTCTAATATTAGGCATGTCGTCTGAGGAATTTCTCAGACACGATCTTCAGTGCATACGATCAGCAAAGGGATGCCGTGGTCTTGGTATGGATCTCAGAAGCAAAGTAAAGGGAACACAAGCAAAAAGTCAAACTGCTATGAGGGAAACTATGATTGGATACTATTACTTCCTCAGAAAAAAAGCACAGATTAGTGTCTAACTTTGGGGAACACTTCTATTCTTATTTGGAATAGAATGGTGTGAAAGTGGATTGAATTCATGGTGTGGCTGCTTTCCACAAAGGCAGAGGACCATTGCTGTTTTCTGATCCCTGGTGTAAGGCCCCTGTGTCACCCTGAGTCACTGTTTTCTGCTCTTAGCCCTCTGTCTTCTGATCCATACCCAGGCTTGCTTTTGAAAATTCCACGCCTTAATAACCCATCCTTTAGTGAGTCATTTTCTCTTCCTCCTTTTATACCTTTAACTGGAAAGTGCACATTAAATCATCTCAAACCATGCATTTTGTTTTAGTTGAAAAAAATATTTATGGCTCTATGTGACCTAGGTTATTTCTAGATTCTAAAGCAGGGGTTCAGGCCTTTCTACTAGGATCCAAGTTCATTGTAATAGAGGTTTCCACGGATGTGAGCTCTGACAGAAAATCAGATTCCCAGTGTTTGGCCATTTAGTCATAGTAATTGCAGTAGATGCCCTGAGCCTGTTCCTCTGGCTTGTCTCTTGTCCCAGCTGTTTACATGCTCTGAGAGCATGGAACAAAGTCAGAATGTTGGGTTGCGCCTCAGAACCACCGCTCATCATTTTAGTAAGATTCCCAGGGTAGCGGCCAGGCAGAGGGCAGTCTCAGAATCTCTCACTCCCTCATCCAGTTGTTCTCACACCCATGTTGGTTGTGGTCTGTGTCCTGGAAGGGGAGGAGGTGTCATTATCACAGGTGTAATGCTTTCCAAGTTAACCCAGATGCTTCTGTGGCAGAGGTTTGCAGTTGTAAAGTTGTTGCTGTTTCCCTAAAGGAAATGGGAACTAACACACATTACAGAAACCATAGAAGAACAGCAAAAATAGACACAGAGGAGCCACACTCAGTGTGGTCTGAGGCAGGGTGCAGACGTGGAGATAGGCCCAGAGTGCAGACAACTTGTCCTCTTAAGGAGCCATGTAATGAATGTCTCTCCAGGGAACCCTTTGCTTCTACAGGGGAAAATATATAATCGGACTTACAGATCCTCCATTCCCTCTGCTGAAACGTGTGAGCTCTGAGGGCTAGAAGCTCCATTTAACTTCCTAGTGACACGGGCTTACCCAAGTTAGTGTGGTCATGGAGTCTGGATCCTTCTCATTCCCCAGACACAGACAGAATCAAATCAATGATTTAATGTTCCCGAATCCTTCACTTACATGTTGCTTAAATGTTACCTTCAGAGTGTTTTCTTTATCTTTGTTTGTTGTTCTGTCCCGTCCTCCCCCATTTCATCAATGAGCATGGACTTTGAAGCTAGAGACCTTTGAGTTCACTCTTTGAGTTACAAAATTCTCTGCTCACTGCTGCCCCATCTGCCAAGCAGAGATAGCAGCGCCCACTGCACAGGGCTGCAGTTAAGACTGAGTGGATTTTAAGATATTGCAGAAATTCTCTAGGGTTTCTCTCCCTCACCTCATGCTCGCTGATATCATCCCTGAAAAGCAGTGTTCACTATCGGTGTCCCCACTCCAGGTAACCCCCCACTTCAGGTAACTCTTCCAGGCCTGCCCTGTCCAGCGATCATTGCTGAGTAAACACTCAGAGAGAGAATAGATCACCTCTTATGCCATGTTCTCCTCAGGTGAGGACTGAGGTCATTGAAAGAGGCCTAACAAATCACTGACTTCAGATGTTAAACTAATGGATTCCAGAAGGCAAATGAAATGGGCAAGCATGGCTCAGACATGGTGGAGTCACTGCGATTAGATATGTGTTGAATCAATAACGCATTTAAAATGGATATGTTTTACGTTTAAAAAAAAATGCTCGCTTTAACCAGCAAAAAGGTAAGGAGATGTTATCAAGGGCAATTTTTCATGCTCGTACGGATTACGTGTTTGTTTTGTTTTTTTGTTTTTTTTTTTTTTTCTAAATAGCCCCACCTCTGTTCTTTTTTTTCTCTTTCTCTTTTAGAAATGCATCCAATTCTCTTCCAGTGGTGTGAATTCATCTGGAAATCTATGACAATCAATTAAGTAAATGAGCAAACAGAATGCTTGTAATTATGACAATCAAGCTATTTGAAACCCACCCTCTTTGGTCTGATACCCACACATCTTTAAGCAATATATTAATTAAACTGTGGGTAATTGTTATAATTAAAATCAAGCTTTGTAATTTTTAAAAATCGCTCAGAGAGAGAAAAGGAACTATCTTAAAAATACATGCAGCTGTTGGTTTTCAACACCACTCACCATCCTGACCAGATTGTCATTTCTGTGGCTACGTGGGGAGACAATATTAGCATACTTGATCCATGTGATTTCTTATTTATAACTGTAGAGATTTTGTGGCTAACACCTTTTACAGGGTTTCTCTATCTCTCTAGATCAAAGTTTGCAAGCTTTTTTGATAAAGGGCCAGCACACACATATTTCAAACTTGCAGGTTAAGACACGAAACTGTATATCTATCTATCTATCTATCTATCTATCTATCTATCTATCTATCTATCTATCTATCTATCTATGTGAAAGCACTTAAAACAAGGCAGAAAGTAACATCGCATGCTTTTCGGATTGATGAAATTCAAAATATAATAGGGCAGTGGCTTTTATTTTTTAGCATACATCAACTACCGGAACAAATAGACTTCCTACTGTGGGAATAATACACTATGTAGACCGAGTTCAATGAAACGGCCCACCTATTTGTTATGAAATCCTTCTTAGCTCATGGAAAGTGGGCTGCATGTAGTTCCTAGACTGTGGGCATGACAGTCTCTGCTTTAGATCTGTGCTCTCTACTTCAGCGTGTGTCTGGGTCACCGGAAGTTCTTCCTAAAATGAACTGCCGAGCTGTATCTAGTGGCACGGCTACAGAATTTGCATCTCTGCTGTATCCACAGATGAATAGGATTTCTCTAATCTGGCACAAGATTCTGAGAATTTTGCTGTTGATGTTGGCTCTCTCATAAAGTCACATGGAGTAGAAAACCGCACATTTTATGTTTTTGTTTGTTTGTTTGTTGTTTACCTACTTTCCTTTTGTGGAGGTATAGTGGGGGGAGGAGCTAAACCCAAATTTACATCTTTAGGACGTGAAGAGCTGTTTAGCTGTATCAAAATAAAGAATTATATAAAACCCCTTCACTTTTTAAATAGCTCCAGGTTTGCTTACGGTTAGCAGCCAGGAGTCAGCATCTCCTTGCATGTGCTATAGAATGTCAGAATAACTTTTATGTTCATAAAACTGTATGTGAATATTCCAAAGCAGGTATGTGGACAGAACATTAAATGATATTAAGCCTTAGACTTAATGTGCCCTGGCTTGCTAAGCAGGTGCTAAACAGCGTGTTCCTCTGAAGGTAGAATGTATTAGCCTTGTCAGCACACACACTTCATTGGATAGTGGAAATACTTCCCTGAAGCCAGTGAGAAGCAGGTGAGAACGATGTCTCCTAAACCCCCGGTAGCCCAGGGCTTGTTTATTGGACCCAAAGTCTGCAAGTTTTGCACTATTTGCTTCGTGCTGTTATGGACAAGCTCTGAGTTGTTGCAACCATTGCTTAGTGTTGAAATTGTCAGGAAGTTTAGAGTAGGTGGTATCAACAACCACATCTCCTCAAAGAGAGCCATTCCAAAGAAGCAGAAAAATGGTACCAGTTCTTCTTTTGTTTATTTGTCCCAGGAGTTTAAAAAATCAGCTTTATGAAACCATGATCTTCCCCTAGACAGATGGGCCTGTACACCAGCAGCGTGCTTTCAATCGACAGTTTACATTTCAAGAGGAGGGTAAAGAAAATGAACAAAAAGACAGCGTTATCTATTTGTCACATGTTGTAACACTGATACAAAAAAATAGTATTCTGATTAGCAGCTTGATTGGCAACCCATGTAACCCTAAATACAAACCCAGAGAGTGCACTTTAACACACAGTTACTTTTGGCAAAACCGTATGTACAATTTTGAACAAATAAATACATAAATACAGTCATTCATATATAACAATATACCTAAATGTCAATTATCATCAAGCGTTTCTAATGAATTGCTCCTTTCATTCACAAGTTACTTCTTGCTTATAAAAAGTATTTTCACCTTTACAGAAATGATACAATCAATTTCCCGCATTGAAGCCACATATTAGGAAAGGTAGAAAATGAATTCCACACACTGTACATAAATATTCCATTGTCTTTTGTTAGAAGAAATTTGATTGAAAAACTCCTTCCTTGACTTCTCTGTAAAGAGTTTGTTTCCCCTCCGTAACTTATCACAGAAGGGGTTTTGTTCTTCCGTATTCAATTCAAATAAAAAACGCTCTTCATGTTTTTGAATCTGGTTATTTAAAAGTACGTTGTTGTATATTGAAACTGCTCCAAGAGGACACAAAGCCACATAAATGACGCACCAAAGAGAAAGCATTTTTCCTCAAAGCAATACACTAAGACACTTTCAAGATTGTACATACTGATGTTATCTAGTACATAATAGAGAAATAATGGGGAATCAGACAGTGTTTAGAAAAATTATTTGAATGACTTCTGGTACAATATTATTGCAGCGCTGAGGACTGAACCCAGAGCCCTTTGCATGCTAGGGGAGTGCTTTACCGCTCAGTCACACCCCCAGCCCCAAAGCACTGGCATCATTGTGAATTTTTTTTTCTTAAGGAAATGGTAGGAATGGCTTAATAAAAACCACAACAATAATTTGACCAGTTTCTTGTCATAGAATTAACAGAAGTAAGAACAATTAGAGCTTTTTCCTTGACAAGTTAAACATTTTTTTTTTTTGAACATCCAGAAAAACAAAGAGCGAACATGCTTAAGGCTATTGAAATACTGGACAAATGGCCTTGCCTCATCAAGTTCCATGCAGAGGAAAATGTTACATGTCAAGCAGATTTTAGCTGTACATACAATTGAGGTGACAAAAAAAATCACTTTTAAAATATGTACATGTAATCTTCGGTGTCTATTTACATGTTTGTCATACGGGCACTGTGTAGCATAAAAAGGTTAAGAAACAGTCCTTTAAGACATATGATTTTCTGTTTTTTTCTTTTTTCTCCTTTTCAAGATTAGGGCTCTATGCATATTCCACACATACATATAAAGCAGTTCATAGATGTACATACACGGCTATTGTAATGTGAGATTCTTGGCATGAGAAGTGGCTTGGCTGAGCATGGGGCAGATGCAAGGCCATTGTGGGAGACAGAGACTGTGTTCAACTGTGCAAGTGGGAGGCAAATGAGGCATGAGGGCATGAGGGCATGAGGAGACTTTCCCAGCGACTGGAGCTCACAGCAGCTGAGGCCGGATGGTGAGAGAGCAGCTCACCTTGTCCTGCTTCATCTCTTCCCAAGCCGTTTGACACTACTCAATAATAATAATAATAATAATAATAATAATAATAATAATAATAGAAATCATAATTTTAAAGGCTGGGAAGTCCTGTATCATTTAGTAATTTAGGGCTAATGAGAGATCTAGTGTTTCCTAGCAAGAGGTTATATGATTGTGGGATTCCATTTTATTTCTTTGTCTCCCTATTGCTATCCGCTTCTAGGGGGGTACTCCAGAGGTCATTACACAAATGAAATAGATAAAGGAAACAACTCCTTCAGCTGTGGGGCTTTCCTTGCATGACAACAATGAGTTCCCTATGGAATGGTACATGTACAACAGGGAGGTTTGCTGAGGGCTTATCTAACTTCTGATGGAGATTAGCTCTACTTGTCCTAAAGATTTTTAAGAATTCAGGGCAAATGTTCAATTCCTAAAATTTAAGTTGTCAGGATGCATTTTGCAAAGCATATGCAAAGCTCCTCCCCAAAGCAAAGCAGATGCTCTTGCTTTAAACATCCTGGGATACCAAGGCAACACACTGAGGTGACACATTTGTCACCAAAACCGGAAACATGGCAGAGAAATCGAAGCTTCCCCAGTCAACTAACTTAGAGGCAAGGAAACATCGAAAGTCTTGGAAGAATTAGGTACACTGATATTTCACAGTCAATCTTTATTTTGGTAAATTGTTATATCAGGATGATGTTACCATAGCGGATGACCGTCTTTACAATCACTGTAATCACTTTAGCATTTAGCACAATGCGTGATACATGGCATTACATAGCACCTTTTAAACTAAAGATCTCAATATGTTTATTTAGCAAATGTCATTTGCTCTCACAGTATCTGTGAGGTAGATGTTTCTTTTTAGCCATTTTACAAATGAGCATACAGAAGTACGTCAAAAATGAGATGCCTGTTCATGTGGTCCATATACGTTTGTGGCGTCAGTGGGATCTGAACTCAGGCGTCCCCGTTCTTCCTTCCCATGGATCTCAGCCACAGAACCTCCGGAACATCTCAAAACAGCTTTGTTGCTAAAGGTACTCGAATGCTGTGGATGTTAAGAGTATTATGTTCATTGGTAGCAGGGCAACATCTTTCAGTGATACTAGTAGGCGTTAAAGAGTTTCCCAAATCCGTGAGAGGGGCAGTGGGCACTATTGCTAAGCTTATGCTAATTAGATCGGATACCTAGATTCGCTTTCTCAATTGTTGTGTATTGCTTCCCGGCCTTCCACCAACTTGATTTCTACACCTGGAGACATACACCTGCCTGATCCCAGGACTGTGAAATGCACTTAGAGGCATTATATGGAAGGAAGCAGGTGAGAGTACTACATTTTGGCAGTCTCCTTGGTGGCATCATGTAATCTTTGTTCTGAAAAAAGAAAAAGTTTATTTTTTTACTTAAAGTAGCATTTTATGTATACCTCACCTGCTGACCAGATTTAATCCTTGGAAGTACAGGCTGAGGTGTTTTCTATACATACAGAATAATTGATTCTCAAGTTTAAATTCCCATCTATTTCATCACAGTCTCTCTACCAGGAATAAAATCACTTATTGGTAGAATCTCTCATTCTGTTTGCATTCCATCGCAACATATGTAAAAATGCAACTGGACAAGAGCACACAGCACTGATATTCACACCCAGTGTGTCTTTCTGACTGTGTATCTTTTCTGGCTTATTCTTGTTTTTAAAATAGAGTTACTACTTACTTTTGAGGAGATGGTATGAAAACCTCACTGTGAGTTTCTATTTGCTGACCAGATGCACAGTGTATGAATTCTAGCAGTTATCGAAAGTCACCCTTTTAGATAAATGGCAATGTCTTGGGACCTGAGAATGAAATCTGGCCCTTCTAACTTACTCACTGTTTCTATGACCAAGTCAGTATTTGTAAATTACTCATCCAAGAAAGAAGCTGGAAACAGGAAGCAAAAACTTTACAAAACCCCCTTATCACTTCATGTTCCCTGGGTGACCCCTGCAAAATACCAACACCTTAGTCCCCACATCTTAGAAAAGAAACTTATTTACATTGACTAAAAATCTTAACATCTGAGATGCTTCTTGCTTGACATGTCATTCCAGATTCGGTGCATTTCTTCCGGGGAGATCTGGTGGACTGTGATGACGCGACGGTACCTGCACAAACTGTACGCCATTTTCCAATGATTGAAGCCACTGTTCTGGAAAGGATGTATGCCTAGCTTACGAAGACACAGTCCCACATACACATCTTCAAGATGAAGCAGCCTGGTATGGAGTGAGGTCTTGTAAATGAGTTCAGCCACATCAGCAGAAAAGATATAGCCAGTCCCCGAACAGAATGGAGGGTAGTTGCTGTCAGGGTACAAGTCCCTGGGCATATACCATTTACTGCGGACGTCCCGGATCGGCCCACCATTGATGACATAACCAGTAAAATACCTTCTTCTCGGCTTGGTAGAGGGTTTCAGGAGTTTATAAATAAGGTTGTCCATGTTCACAAAAATGTCACTGTCTGTTTTCATGACATACTTGGCTTTTGAACAGAAAGTGGCAACCCATCTCATCCCCATTAAGGTTTTGAGGGTGAGGTTGTGGTAGGAGTCAATGAAGTCCTCTACGATGATGTCGTGGAATATCTGGCTCTCTTGTTCCACCATCTGGTTCAGAACAGGATCGGCATTTTTGCCCAGGAGGAAAAGCGTGGCTATCTTGATCCCTTTGAAGTTGTTCTCATCCCCCCACGTCTCCCGGATTGCCTGGCGGGCATCAAATTCCTTGTGTGTGGTGCTAATGAGGATCACAAGGAAGGGGATGTTCTTCTCACATTTGTTGGGCTCATTTATAAGAAATTCGAAAGAATGTGGGTTTATAGGTCGAGTTCTTATGTTGCCAAAGGTGAAGTTCTTCCTGGCAACTGTTAGGTGACTGAATGGCTTCGAGCCAGTGTAGGATGAAGTAGGTCTCGTAATGCTCAAGTACCAGAGAGCGCTGGCCCAGCACACAACGGTCAATACATATAGGCACGAGACCTTTGAAGCCATTGTCTTGAGACACGTCTAGTCCAAATACTGAAGAACACACGTTTTGGTCACTAGTTTCTTGTCCTCTCGCAAAGGCAGCATATTACTCAGCAATCTAGATATTCTGCCAGAGAGGAGTTAGTTGGCGGTGTCCCAGGACCTTATCTGTTCTGTGGCATCGGCATATTCACTTTACGTTCTTCCAAACCTGATGGAAGGTCCATGCCTCAGAAATCTTCCTCAGAAATCTGCAAAATCAATAAAGCATAGTTTTATTCCAGTTTACTTAGCCATTTTCAAATTTTTGAATAAACACAATAATGGTGTAAGAATTGCCAGTGATGACTAAAATAAACACGGTCACTCATTTTCATAAGCTCCGAGAAGCCCCACACATAACCTAGCTTCTCCTCTCTGTGAACAGAAATTGTTTATGAATATTGATATTCAGTACATGAATACATTGACCATGAGCTCTAGGTGACTGGGGAGTAAAACTAATGTCAGTAATTTTCTAAACAGGATCTCCATATTGAGAACAGGCTGTCCGTGCAGTTGGTTGCTTTTTAGCTTAAAATGTTTCAGACAAGTGTACACACAGTTCAGGTCTCTTTCATTTCTCCAGCTTTGAGCTTTTAATTTGAGCTTTTAACAAACAAACAACTCTTAACTTTGCTTTCTCCAGTTTCCCATTTGAAAATGTGTTGATCAATGCCCACAAACCTTTCCTGGTGCTGTGCTTACTTAGCTCACACTTAGGAAGAATTACTGCCTGTTCCTGACCTGGCAGTGGGCATAGCTCTTACTGTGTAATTCTGCTTTCTCCAAGGCTTCAGGAAATACTCATACTCCTTGTTATGGCTGGGTATAAAGTACTGCCCCAAGACACTCATTTACTTAAAGTTTGGTCCTTGAAAGGTGGGACATAGCTGGAGGAAAGGGGTCCTAAAAGTCATAGCATTGAACATACACCTGATCTCTGATCCCTTCCTTATTGCCTGCATCCTTCTTCCAGGAAGTGAGCAGCTTCCACTTCTGCATTCCCCCTCCACCATGCCCTTCTTCCTCACTGTTAGGTGTCTACTTAGGCACTAGAAGGTTTCAGGGACACTGAGCTAGACCTCTCCCTCATAATCAACAGCCTACAAAACAAAGACTGGAGTTTCGGGACTCTAGTAACTGATCAGAAGAACAGTATCTGAGTCATAGCTCTCAGGATCAGGATGGGAGGAGACTTGCCTTGGGAAGTGGCCTGGCATGTCATTTGTAGATAACTAAGCCTGGCTCCAGGAATCCTAAACCTTGCGCATACTGCATTGTACTTTCTCGTAAGAGCAAAGAAGATCATTGCCTGCTCCATTAAGAGTCAATCCAGTTGTTCCACCAACTCATTGAATCCCTAGGACAAGGTCCCTCTGGTAGAGCTGTGTGTTCTAGAGACGTTAGAAAGGGTATAAGCCCTTCTTAAAACGTAGACTGATACAATGGTTCCTCTGACCACCATCCACTCTGTCTTCAGACTGTGCTCTGCTCTTCTGTACCTCTACACCGGGCTCTGCATGGCTTGTCTGAGTTCTTTCAACTGTGGTCTCAGGGACCAAGGGGAGTCCAGACTGAGAAAGAAGCCAAGAAATATTAAGCCAAACATCCGGAACTATCAAACAAAATAAATCTTTCTTCTTTGTATGTTGTTCTCTGAAGTACTTTGGTTACCGTTACAGGAAAGTGACCAAAACACAGAAGCTGCCAACTACCCAACCTGGTTGATTTCAGGGTTTTAAATGGAATGGGATTTCCAGTTTTCAATGTCCCTATCTATCTCTTCCAGGAAATGATGCTGGACGTTAAAGAATTTTTGTTTATGCATTCATTAATTTATTTTACTGACATGGCTCTACATGTTGATGGGTATAAGGAGAGAAACAAGTAAGCTTAACAGCCACAGATTCAATGAAGATATGAAAGAAGACAAACTGGTCTTCTAATGAAGTTGTTCTTTGAAACACTGATGCTTTCTAAAAGTGTCATTGTTTTTTAGAGCTTATAAACTTATCCCAGTCAAAAATATGTCCATTAACATAAAAAATTCTTCCTTCCTAGTTAGAGCAGAATTCAATAGCCCTGGAAGGCAGAGGCAGAGTCTCCTAGAGAGACAATTGTAGTTAGTTTTCGCTAACCTGACATTAATTAAAATCACCTGGGAAACAAAAACCTCAACTGAAAAATTGCCCATCAGACTGGCCTGTTGGTGCCAGTGAAGATGTGGGAGGGGCCAGTGTATTGTGGGCGGGAACCACCAGATGATAGTTCTTGGTTGTACAATCAAACAAGCAGAGAAAGCAAGTGAGCAGCCTTTCTCTGTGGTCTCCACTTCAGCTCCTGCCGCCAGGCTCCTGCCTTGGTCTCTCTCAAGGGTGGATTTCACTCTGTAAAACCAGCTCTCCCAGTTGCTTTCGGTCATGGTATCTATCACAGCAACAGAAAGCCAACTAGATTTGTGCTTAAATAGACATGTCAGAAGAATTTAACCAGGATCATGAATGGAAAAATCATATTTCTAAGTTCAAGAATGAAAACGAAACACAAAAATACAAAATAAGCAACAGCAGAGATAAAACCCATACTCTTGTCTGAGCTGAGAGCTAACAATCACACCAGCAATAATTCATTTTTTGGTTGCTGTTTTAAGTGAATAGTAGGGTGATTTCAAGCCACATGACTTTTGCATAGTCAGGCCTCCATCCAGTGAGAACTCCATAACATATAATCCAGTATTCCTAGGTTCCTGGAGAACATTTCTGCTTTGAGGTACACTAAAGCTAATAGCAAGAAGGTCATGATACATGGCTTCACGAAAATGAGGAAGTTTTGATATTTCGGAGGAAGTGGTTTTCAACCTGTGGATCATGATCCCTCCAAAGAAGTCACCTATCAGGTCCTGTCTACCAGATATTTACGCTGTGATCCATAACTGTAGCAAAATTACAGTTATGAAGTAGCAACAATCTTTTTTTTTTTTTTTTTTTTTTCATTTGCAGGTTACCACAAGCCAAGGAATTGTGTTGAAGGGTAGTAGCTTTAAGAAGGTTGAGAACTGCTGGTTTAGAGGTAAGAAAAGGAACTGAGGAAAACTAGTAGTAGAGAAGGGCCTTTCCAACTTGGAATATACAGATATTGACTTCATTTTAGCCTCAAAGGCTGGTGAATGAGTATCATGATGTTACTGGAAACCAAGCTTTCCCATGATCTCATCTTGTATCTTCTATTCTTTAAGAATACCTTTATCATCCTTCTGTCCTTATCCTTTGTATATTTTCCTACTAAATTGGGAGCCAACTATTACTTAGCTGTTAAGGAACTCTGAAGCAATTTGGTGCAGAATCAGGTTATCGTTGGGGGAGATTAATCAGACAAGTAATGGAGGATTTCTGTAGTTATTTGATCTCCTGTTTTACTGTCCCTACAGAGGCAAATTACTATCCTCCACTTCACAGCTGTCTTCATTTAAAATTTGTTCGTTCATTTGGTTCATTTGTGAGTTCACCAACCATGAATCTAAGAATTAACCAAATACTTGTAACCCTCTTTGCTACAGAGTATTGAGAAAGGACAACTAGGACCCAAACCTTGTCCTGGGACCTGCTGTACTAAGGGGCTAAGTTTCAAGCAAGCAATTAAAATAATTTCAACATGAAGCTTTTGGAGCACACGGGCATAGGCTGAAGAAAAGAGTATTTGGGGAAAAGGCACAGTATAGTAGACTAGACACAGAGACATTCCAGAGTCCATCATTCACACATGCTACAAGGTGGGCCCCATTTTCTACCCATCCTTAGTCAAGCAGCGATGGGACAATGAATGGAGCCTGTAAGTCAGAGAAAAAAAAGATGAGCTAAATTGAAGCTTCAAACACAGCTCGGGATTACCTAGATTGTGCTTGCACAGAAAAGAAAGAAAGAAATATTCAAAAAACATGATTGCACAAGAGACCGTAAATGGTTATGTAAAGATAAAGGACTGGGTAGTTACTGATGAAGGTGGTAAGAGGTGTGTCTATAGAGAGATGCAGTGGTCCTATAGGCAGCATCCAGTAACCTTTCTGAGCTGAGAAGCCACTTACTTATCTGTGTATTCTAATACTAGGAGGGAGGATTTTACTTTCCCAGATCCTGGCCACTGATTTCTACACCCATCCATTTTTCTATATTAAGGATTTCTTTTTCTTAATGTTCTATGTCCTAAATGAGTGAGAATTTGTTTTAGGACATCTTTCATAGAGATTTTGGTCTGGACCAAAGGTTTGTGTAAATGCAGGTACATTCAGAGTTTAGAAATATAAGAGAGATAAATGAGAGTGTGAAGAAGGCTTTTATACTTACAGATACTCTCCACAAAATAATGAGCAGTCTTACCTAAACAGCTAATGCACATGATAAATTTTAGCATTATTACTTTTAGTTTTCATACCAGTGGCTACAAATTACTATTATTTTGAGTTTTGAGACAAGATCTTGCTACATAGCCTAGGCTGGCCTTGAACTAGTGACCCTCTTTCTCAGCCTCCGGAATGCTGCGACCACAGAAATGCACCACCACACCCAGCTCATTATCTCTTGTTTTAAAATGCATATACCAAGAGGCTGGAGAGAAGCCTCAGCAGTGTTAAGAGCACTGGCTGCTCTTTCAGAGGACCCAGTTTGATTCTCAGGATCCACATGGCAGCCCACAACCGACGGACGGTGACTCCATGGAATCCTATTAACTCTCTGGCCTCTGCAACCAAGCATGCAACGGATGCATACAAGATACATGCAGGCAAAAGACACATACATATGAAATAAATATAAAATAAAACAATAAACTGCATATACATCAGAATAGGTGTCGTGCGTTATGCTGTTATGTCTGGCGTTCTATTCCGCTTCATAGAGTACCGTTACTTACAGTGTTTCAAGAAAGGCGTGTCTTCCCCCACTTTGCAGGTGAGAGAAGGGAAACTCAGATGTGTTAAGTACCTCAAGATCGTGGCCAGAGCACTCAGCTGGCCACTGGCCGCTCTCCAGTGGCCTGTGGCCTGTTGGGATAACAGTCCTTGTGGTGGATGGAAATGCCACCCTAGTCTATGCTGGTATCTCTTTGTGGCTCATTGGTTTTTCATGTCAAGTGAGCTGAACTGGAATGTGAAACACAAGTAGGAATTATCTGGAAGGAGCTGGGGGATTCTAGTCAGAGCATACAGTGTATGCAAAAGGCATGAAAATGAGAGAAAAACGTGGACACCAGGACAGTACATGCTTCATCTTGGCACGCCACGCACTGCACTGAGTCAATGCCGTGGGGACCTTTGATTAGTGGAACATGCTCACTGCTAAAACCAACCAACCAACCAAACGACAACCACACACACATTAGCATTTTGCCAGTGAGGGGGGTGAGGAAACACCAATAGTTGAAGGATTTCAAAACATTTCGCATTGCATTTCGCTGAAGTCCTGAAGGCCATGCACACACGGAGCAGAGCGAACCACTGTTTCTATTGAACTTGTATTTCACCAGAAGTGGGAAGATAGGTACAGCAGCACATCCCGGATCAATACTAAATGCAAGTTAGCAATGACTCGATTAGCGATTAGCACACATAAACCAAAGAATGTGAAATACGAAGGGGAGACAGCGTGGAATCTGAAGAGCGGCAGGAATGTGCACTTACAGCTAAAGGGAAAACAAAACCGAGTTCTTGAGTTCTTGGGTGGCCACACAAAGATATGCCTCTGGGTCAGGAAGTACTGTGACTAAAGATGAGACCAAGTCACATGATGCACAGACCTCTAAAGATTAACCTCATGGATGCCAGAGGATGTGGTTGGCAACTGGCCAGTCATGTTCTCATTTACTGTTTGCGTAATGCTATGTTGTAATTTGGATTATCTTTGTCTCCGTGGCCTTAAATACAAATTACGAGCAAAAAATAACAGCCTGTTTACCTCTCCATGTGTCAGAGGTCTTCACAACCATTGCCAGATTGTTTGTTTCTGAGGGAAGGGTTTAGCTAAACTTCAGCAGATGGGAAGATTTTGACAGCTTAGTGCTCATGGCTTGGGACCCTGAGCATGGAGATCGATTGGTTCTTTTAAGAATATAGAGTTTGTCTCAGGTTTTGGTTGGTCCTTCTGGGTTTGCGAAAAGCCAATAGAGGTGTTTGGAAAACATTTCTTTTCGTCCTCAAAAACTCAAAGTCAGAGACCCATTACAAAGTCAAAAGGAAAAGCAGAGCCAGAAGTTAAGGGCAATACTGACTTCACATAGCAGAATCTTCTGGTGAGCTGGACAACAGTTTTTAGAATCTCGTTTAATGGGCAAATTAATATGTTAGTAAAACAGAAAGTGGCACACATAACATTTATCATACCTTTTAGCACTTTTAGCACAACTTCAAGATACTGAAGACACATTAACTTGTCATCTGTTAAATATGCATCCCTCCAATAGGAACATTCAACTAGAACATTTGAAAGATGTTCCCTCCAGTGGCCTCACGCTACTGCTGATGAGCCCATTCAGAGAGCTCTCCAGTAAACACCCACCTCCACCTTTCAGGGAGTTAATGGGGCAGGATTTTCAATGTAAGTAGCACATGTTTCTTTTAGAAAGGGCATGGTGGATTGTCTGATATTTTGAATAAATTAATTTTTTAAACCCCTAAGCTGTCTAAAAAGTATCCTCTTATTTGACCAGAGGGAAATTCTAGTAGAGAGTGGTCAGGGTAACTAAAGAGTTCTGCTTACTTGTGTGTTCATGTCCATCATGGGGCAGGCAGGGTAATGTCTAATTGTTTTGTTTGCCTTAACTAGGCTAATGGATGCCCAAAAAGCTACTCTATATGTCTTTTCAGGTGTTGAAAGTATTAGAAATATTAGACAATGAAAACAGTCCTTCACCAAGGCAGGTGAGTGCCAAGTAATCTGTTAAGAGCCTTAGTAGCAGGATCCTCTTCGTTCTTTACCACTGACCCTCTCAGTCCTCACTGACAGGCCATTTCCATTCCTTTGTGACAGCTGCCAATTTGCAGAAACACTTTCCACCAGGGACCCTCAGCAGCCACACTGGCTGGGATGTAGGCAGGTGATCTTTCATCTCCTGCCATTTTAATCTCTCCAGACTTAGTCTTCCTTACAGAAGTACTTTCTCTCTCACCCTTCTTCCTTTTCCTGGGGACTGTGCCTCTGGGTACCAACCCAGGTCCCATTAGCTCTTTCATCTCTCTCTTTCCATATTTATTCTTTACTCTATTGTAGCACCTGTAGGAACCCCTCCTCCTACCCTACGTCTTTTCCCTGGGGACAATGCCACTTGGTACAGACCTAGGGTACCCTTAGCTCTTTCTGGAAGACTCTCTCAGCCTTCTCTTCTACCATTGTGCCACCCTTAAACCTGCAGAAATACATTCTAGCAGGAATCCCCAATGGCCACAATAGGTTGCATATAGATAGACATTTTTTACTATCACTCTTGTCCTCCATTCTTGTCTTTCCAGACTCTTAGTCCTGTGGCAGCCTGCCTGAAGGAGTCCCTCCTCTCATCCTACTTCCACTCCCTAGGGACCTCTTGGTGTATACCTCAGTCCCCTATCTCTTTCTTCCTGTCCTTTAAAGCTTTTCCTCCTAGCCCATCTTTATTCCTTTGTGTCAGCCACTGACACAAAAGCATTCTTTACCAGGTACCCCATAGCCACCACACATGCCTACGATCCAGAATGGACAAGAGCAACCAAACAATGGAACACAGACACGAACAGCCAAGACAATACACACACCCCAGAAGCTAGTCACTATGCTGCAATAGGACCTCAGAAATGTGATTTAGCTGTAGTGCAAGACAAAGAAATCAAAATAGCATCATATTGCTATGTTCGAGAACCTTAAAGAGGGTATGAACAAATGCTTTAATGAAGAACATGAAACAAAAATATTTGAATGAAATAATGAAAACATTTCAAGACACAAAAGTAGAAATAGAAACACTGAAGATGACTCAAAACGATATAAAGCTGGGAAGAGAACCTCAGGATGTAAAATAAAAACCTCGGAGGTAAGCTTAACCAACAGTTTGTAAGACGTGGCAAAAAGGATTTCAGATTTTGAAGACATGGTCGAAGAATTGGATCCCTCAGTCAAAGAAAATATTAAATCTGAAAACACTCCAGGCAGACACATTCAGAAGATCTGAGACACTATTGGAAGACCAAGCCTATGGAATACAGGAATAGAGGAATGAGAATAAACCCATGTCACAGGAATAGAAAATATTTTTAACAACATTGTAGCAGAATAATCCCCCAACCTCAATTAACTAGAAGGTGCCTATCAAAGTACAAGAATAATACAGAAAAACAAATAGATATGATCAGAAAGTAAAATCCTCTGGACACATATTAATCAAAACAGCAAACATAATAAAACAAGGATATTAAAATCTTCAAGAGAAAAAGACCAAGTTACCTACAAAGGCAGGCCCACTAAAATAACTCCTAACTTCAATAGAGACTCTGGAAGACAGAGGTCCTGTATGTGTGTTCTACAAACCCTGGAAGATCACAGATGCCAACGCAGACTGAGCAAAACTGTCAAACACAACTTATAGAGAAATAAAAACATTCTATAATAAAACCAAACTTAAGCAATATCTGTCCACCAACCCAGCTCTACAATGGACACTAAAAAGAAAGCTTCAGTCTGAAGAGGTTAATTGCACCCCAGAAGACACAGGAATAAACAACCACAGAACAGACTCTCAAAGAGGGGTAAACCCCACACCATAACAATAAAATAGCAGGAATAAATAAACACTGATCATAGATAGCTTTCACTATTAATGGTATCAATTCTCCAATTCAGACTAACAGATTGGATTTAAAACACAGGATCTATCTTTTTGCTGCATCCAAGAAACTCACCAGCCATCATCAAGAATAGACATTATCATAGGGGAAAAAAGATGGAAAAGGGCATTCCAAGCAAGGATTCAAGATTCTCAAAGGATCCAAGAAGCAAGCGGCTATAGCTGTTTTAATATCAGACAAACTATACTTCAAGGCAAAATTAATCAGAAGAGATAAGGGTGGACACTAAGTACTCATTAAAGGAAAAACCAACCAAGAAAATACTAAAATTCTAAAAAATTAGACACTGAACACAAGGGTAACCAGGTTCATAAAAGAAACACGAATATAGCCAAATACACATATTGACACTCACACAGTGACGGTGAGTGACTTTAGTACTCCACTTTCACCAGATGATCCCGACAAAAAGTAAACACAGATACATGGGTTTTAAACAGCATCGTAAGTCAACAGGACATCGCACACATCTCCTGAATATCCCATCCAAACACCAAAGAATCTGCTTTCTTCTCAGCAGGCCAAAGAACTTTCTCTGAAGTTGATCACTAACTAGAACACAAAGCATGTCTCAACAGATATAAGAAAATTGAAAAAACACCCTGCATCATATCAGATCTCCATGAATATTAACAACAGCAGCGATAGCAGAAAGTATACAATTCATGGAAACAAGTTACTATTGAATGAAAAATGGGCCCAAAAATAAATAAAGGAGGAAATTTAGAACTAAATAAAATTTAAAACACAACATATCCAAACTTATGGGATGCCATGAAGGCAGTTCTAAGAAGCAAGTTCATACCACTAAGTGCCTACATAATAAACAAAACAAACAAATAAATAATAAAAGAATAACAACTAAAAAATTCTGGAGAGACCTCATATTAATAAGTTATTGATACACCTGAAACCTC